TATATATATATATATATATATATATATATATGAAAATGATATGTGGGACTTACCTTGGCATCCTTTGTACAAGGCCTTCCCCAAAATGGTTAAATGCAATTGTGACTTGCATATTTTTGTCTTGAATTAAAGAGTCACTATGCCCCAATAACATGACCTTATCATGACGTGTCATGTAATTATTCGATATGGTGATGGCTGTGGATCCATGGATGGCATCAATCAACCCATCATGACAATTGGCCAATGAGCAATGATCCACCCATACATGACTTCCCCCGAAAATCGAGATCCCGTCACCGTCCGATATCGTTCGCCACCCATAATGGTCAGGAGAATCCCGAACATCTGCATTCCCACCTTGCTTACAATCATGTATGTTGACGCCATGTATAATGATGTTCGTCACATACTGGATGGTGATGCATGGTCCGCCAGCAATGTGGACATCTGCACCGCGACCGTCAATGGTCTTAAATGAGTTCATCATGAGCTCTTCCTTCAGTTTTATGGTCATGTCATGTGCAAATATGATCCATAAGGGCTCGTTCTGGATCACACCATATCGTAACGTCCCTGGTTTAGGGTTTACAGGATCATCATTCTTGGAATCTGTCACAACGTAGATTTTCCCATCACGCCCACCAATTGCGTGTTTTCCAAACCCGATTGCACAATCAGCTAACCGTTGTCGATTCTTTTCCCAACCCTTGTCACATCTCCAACAATCGTCGATCGGATTCCCTGTCCCACATGACAAAAACCCCATATTCCTCCTCGATTCATTTATACTCCTGCATTGTCATAACAAGTTTTATCCAAATCATAACAATCTGAAGTAACTTAACTTACAAAATACAGTTTACTGTTTATGATAACATGAAGCAGTTGAAAACAGAACCATAAACAGTTTTCATTTATAAGAATTAAAACAAGGGTAAAATGGGAATTTGAAAAATTGGTTCATTTATGTTACCTATGGACATGTTGTACTACAAGCTTTGGATCTTGTACCATTGAAGACAAAGTGGAGATTGGAGCAAGAAACCCAAGAAGGAGAAGGAAAATTGGCATTGCCATTAGAGAGAGAGAAAAGAATGTGTGCTAAAGAAGAGAGGTGAATGAGATTATTAATACTCAATTTTGAGGGTACATGGAAAGCCACATGTACTTCCCCACATGCAATCATAACTCATCCAATATCAAAATCTTTATTGAAAAAATAAAAATTCAAGAAAATAGAATATTATTTTTATCGTACACGGTATATTTTTTCAAAGACTCAGATGAATATGATCATATATGCTTTTTAACCGATTCTGTCCGTATTTGTAGGAAACGGGAGGAGGGAATTTGTCTTTTTATAATGACGTTTTCTTAATTGTTCTTGATTGTTTTAGTTGTGACACGCTTATGTTGCATTCATTACAAATTTAAATTGCATAAGAAAGACGATAAAGTTTAAAGCAATCTTTTCATGAACGGCATGGTTAAGTGTTCGTGTTTAGATATTGGTAAAGTGTTTTAACTTGTAAGAATAATCGTAAACGTATGCAGTAATATTTGGACCTGTATGATAAGAATATGAGGTTTTCAAACCCAGTTTTCGAATGGAACCCTTGATTCTCATGTTAGCAATCAGTATATGATGTGATCAGTAGTAATACAGTTAAATATCAGGTGATTGAAATAATAAACGTGCATCTTTTTGTTTAGGTTCTAGAAGTAGGAGTCGATTTCAGGTGTTGTATTTGGTTCTTGATTAGATTTTTTTTCTTCCATATTCAATGGGTTTTGAAGACCTAAGATTATTTAATGCTAATCATTGGTTTTTCAGTATAAGGGTTTTAGGCACGTTGAACATGGATTAAATTCTTAAACAGTATCATCAATATCTGCTACATTTCACTATTTTTGCATGTCACGTTCGTATAGGTATCATGTTAATTCCTTCAGCTTCGATTTAATTTCGATATTACAATATGAACTACAGAACCCTAATTTTTGTAAATGTTAGGCTAAATCGTAGCATATTGTTGGAATATCTTATAATAAAAAAAGACAAATTGCATGAAAAATTAACGTTTTTTAACTTTATTCTTATTTTAGATAACGTACTTTCATAACTTCCAGTTTTGGTACCTAAGATGTAAAGTTTTAAACATTTTAAGTACATGGGTAACTGGTTGAAGCATTAACCAACCATATTGATGTGGCGAGTGTTGTGGTATCCAACTCAGTATTATTTGCTGACGTGGTTAGTGACATGAATTTTTTATTATCTAAAATTAGTCCTTTTCAATCTAAAAATAGTCTTCAACCAAATACTTAAATATTTAAAACTTTACATCTTAGGTACCAAAATGGAAGTTTTAAAATTACACTACCCAAAATGAAACCAAATTAAAATACGTTTTTTTTTTCCATACAATTTACCCTAAAAATAAAAATAAAACAGACTTTTTGAATTGAATATACATGCGACCATTTATGTTAAAATGAATTACAAGGATATGAAAAGATATATAAAAAATATAAGTAAAAAAGATATATAAATTAATATTAAAATACTAGTAAAAATTGAATATATTCAAAGCAAGTCTTTGATAGTTGATTGGCGTTAACAATGGAAGTTATAGAAGTAGGGGTGAAAAAGTAAAGATTGTTAAATTGGAGGACTGTAAATGTCATAAATAGAAAAATGGGGGACATAAATGTCTTTAAGTCATCTCCAACCGGCTGCTATGACGGCATTTTACCGGCAAATTCCATTCCTACCGGCTGCTATAACGTCGTTTTACTGGCAAATTCCATTCCTACCGGCTGGTTAATGTAATTAATTTAATCTGTTTGATTAAGTTAATGTAGAAAAGTATTATAACGTAATGTATCACCGAAAATTAAGTTAAAACATATTTTACTATTATAAATTAATAATTAATTGTATTTTATTAATTTTATGATTTAATAAATATTAGAAGAGTACTCGCACAATGCAGCGAGACACATCTCAATTTTAATTTTCTATTTTTATTATTTGTCTTTATCGATATTATAATATGATTTTATGTGTTTTTAAGAAATCAATAATGATTTTATTTTTGAATAAAATATAAATTTGAATATATTATAAAAATGTGAAAAAAATATATCAAATTAACTATTTAAAAGTTC